TCTCCTTCGTGCTTCTGCTCCTCAGGGCTGAAAAAGCCCAACTCTCTCAGCCTGCCCCCATAGCAGAGGTGCTCCAGCCCTCTGATCGTCTTCGTGGCCTCCTCTGGACACGCTCCAACCAGTCTATATCCTTTTGATGTTGGTGGCCCCAGAGCTGGATGAAGCACTGCAGGTGGGGTCTCACAAGAACAGAGTAGGGGGGGAGAATCACCTCCCTTGACCTGCTGGTCACAGTTATTTTGATACAGCCCAGGATACGGTTGGCTTTCTGGGCTGCGAGTGCACACTGCCGGCTCATGTTCAGCTTCTGAATTTCCGAATTTAAAATCTAAAGTGGCAGGTTAACTAGAACATTTCATCTAATGGTGTTGTATAGCAACTCCCTGTGAGGAGTAGGGAGTTTGACCCTATGGGTCCCCTCTACCTTGAGCTACTCTTTATTCTGTGGAAGGAAAGAAATTACTGTTTTGGAAGTACCCATAAAATAAACAGACCTTTTGGTCTGCTTTAGTGTTTTCATTTACCTAAAGGCTGAGAGTTTTGAGTTTACTCTCTTGTTTGAAGTGTGACCCCCCCAAACAGCTGCTCTGTGTTGTAGTTGTGGGTGAAGCCTGGGCTAGTCAGAATTTGGCATGCTAGGCCAGTGTGAGTATATGGCATGCGAGGTAGTCCTTCCCAGTGCTGAAAGAAGGCACTTAGTGGATCCTATGTGAGAGGGACTGATGGGGTAAGTAGTGTGTTATAAAGCCACTTTTTCTTAGTTTTGTAGCATACTGACTCTGTCTTAAATGATTTGAAATCTGTTCTCTATGGATTTAGATGTTTTTTTTTCAAAAGCTATGTCTGAATGTTTAGATTCTTGTTTAGGGAAGTGTTTCATAAAGCACTATTTTTGAAGGAGCAGCTTTCAATTTAGTTTTAAATTAATTATAGGGTGAGTCTTGATCCTCAAAAGGGGAAAATGTATCACCTCAGGTGGTATTGGAAAATGTATCACCTCAGATAGTATTTTACAGGTGTGCATCCACAGATTGCAGTTTGTATGTGTGGCTCTTGAGAGTGGCTTGTCCTTGGCCTTTTTCTCTTCTCTATATGGATCGACGGCAGCATTTACTCAGAACTTGATGGGCTTCAGTCTCTTTGCCGTTATTCCTTTTTGTGATGGTGGTGGTATTTATATACTGCTAGTTGCAGAAGCTTATTACACATCCAGAAATGTAACTCACATTTTGTAGATACCAAATAAAGTCTAAGTAGTGAGCTCTGCTTCCAGGGACCAGCAGAGGTGAAGTCTCAGTACTTCATGGTCTCTGAAAGAAGTCGTGGTAACATAGAGTTGAAAGTGATGGGCATGATTTATTTATGGGAGCCCACTGACTGGCTAGTTAGAGAAGAAACTTGGGGGGCCTCACAGCTTCCTAAGGAAACCAAGCTCCCGAAGGTAAATGAAGTGGTGATAGATGAAAGTGAGGGAAATATTAGCAATGGTGTATGACAGAAGATGTTGCTGGTTAAGAAGGATGCAGTGATCCTGAGTAAGTACCGGTAAATTTTGTATGGATATCCTGTAAAAGCTTAATGTGTGGCTGGAGAAGCTGCTGATACTCAGACTGGGTCCCTTCCTGACCCTTGGACTGAAAAGTGCTGGTTCAATTTGGTTATCTAGGAGCTTTAAGGTCCTGGTGGCATACTGTGTCTTGCCAGTCTTGCATAGGTACAGGGGCTGGTTTGAAGACTTCAGACAAACTTCAAGTAATTGAGCAACTGCTGCTTCAGCTGTGTGTTGACTTTTCTACTGCTTATGCTTCAGTTAACTAATGAAGCTATTTTGGAGAGTGTTAGGGTGCCATTCCTTCTTCACATGCTTGTAAATGGTTTCTTCTGGGATTGGCCCTTCTAGGTTATGCCTTAGGTAGTCCTTAAAAGCAGTACTTTCACAGCCACTGTTACTCTTCATAACGCTGCTGCATTTTGAAACTAACTTGGGTTGTTGAATTGCACCGGTGCTTTTAAATTCTTGTTTCTGTACTTCACTTTAGATTTACTAACTGAATGAGTTGCATATCAACTCTTTAGTCAGAAGGTGGCACTATGTTATGATAAAATAAGAATTGAGTTAAACTATTCTAAAGTTTTTTGTAACACATGAATAAGTTCATTGCAATTCCCTAATATTTATTGCTTATAATTGGCTAGTATTTTTTTTTTTAGCCAAGCTCGCCTTTTTTATAGTTTGAGATACATAAGCTACTTTGAGGGTCAAGTGTGCATAGAAAATACTTGTCTGGCCCCATATGTCTTTGTTGGTGTCTGACCTCTCCCTTCCCATCAGTGGGTTAAATTTTAGTGTTTCGTTTCCTCTAGATTTTGAAGCTTTAAATTACTTCTGTCTGAGCTGTGCTAGCATATTAATGTGATTTGATACGTGATTAAATGAATGTATACAGATCTAGTGTGTCAGAATATTACCAATAGGAGTTTGAAATAAAATCATGAAACCTATGCATTCAGTGTTTTCAAATATAGATCACTCACTGGAAATATTAGATAAATGCTAACCTGTTTCTTCTTATATTATAGGAAGGTGAAATGGCTCAAGAATCTCCAAAAAATTCAGCGGCAGAAATTCCTGTGACTAGCAATGGACAGCTAGAAGACTCTCATGAGCACAGTTTTAACAGGGTAAGAATTTTCTTTGCTGTCTTACAAGGTACCACTATTAGAAGTGTTAAAGTTAGTGCATTGCTTAGCAGACTTCACTCGATACAGTTTTCTAGAGCTTTAATGGGAAGACTCCTTGTAGCACATAAATTATTGCTAAAGTCGATGTGACATAGTGTGATTGCACCTTGCAGTAACCTTTTTGTATAAAAGGCATGTTAGTAGTGGCAAATAATTCTCAACATGAAATAAGCTTGAAGAATTGGGTGCTCTTTAGTGCACCATTAACTGTATATGCTTCTACGTTCTTGTCTCTGAATCTTGAGGATACTGGTTTTTAATCTGACTATTTTATTCATAAAACAGGACAACAAGCATTTTAAAAATGAGACTTAACAGATCCTGTGATTTCAGGCTACCAAATCCTAACTTTTTTATGAAGAAGTATCAAATAGTCCAAGGCAAGCTACTTCTAAGGGGTGTGAAGTTTGGAGGCCACATGCCCAGAATTAGAGATAGTCATGTTCGGATTTGAAGCTGCAGACAAAAAGAAGTAACTTTTCTTGTGCTGAAGCTGAAAAATCACTACTGTATTTCCATGTGCTGTATAGGTGAGGTGTCTGTCTTATTTGGTGTATGTTGAAAAAAAGGGTTATATTTGCGCAATGACCTGTGTGCAATTTTGAGTGCTTTCCCTCTACCTCGATTCATTTTACAGAGTTCTTCGTGTGGCTGTCCAGCAGAGGGTGTGATGGCACAGTTTATGGAATTTAGGGCTGGCTTCCTCCGCTTCTATTTCTTTGCTTTTCATTTGGAAATACGGAGGCTAATTAATTACATTTATTTAATATCTGTTGAGACTTAGATTTTAAGGAAATATCTAAGCTTTAATAGTCCCGTGCTGACTTGCTGTGCAGGATTATTTCTACAGGAAATACTGAGCAGAACTTCAGCATTTTATGCTGTCCTCCTAAAATGCTGATTAGAGGGGACAGCCTTCATAAGGTTAAAAATAAATTACGTAGACATCCTGAGTATTGGTAAAATAAGCATCTGCCTAATTTTGTCTTCTGGTTTTAGCTTTGTAAAAGCTCTAAGTTACTGTAAGTAAAGCCTATAAGTTACTGTTGAAGTTGACAAAAAAAACAAAGCAGGTACTGCACATTGAAATAACATATTAGTATGAAAGTTATATTAGTAGTTGCATTTGTTTTCTGAACATTAGTGTGAAGTATTGGGTGCTCTCTAATGCACAATAACATGTATATGTTTCTAATTGTTGACTTGAGGATACTGATTTTTTTAATCCAGCAATTTTATTCATAAAACAGGAAAACAAGAATCTAAACATTTAACAAGCATATGAAATGTATAGTTTTAACCATGTTTTATAGTGATAATCAAATAAAATTAAAATATGTATTTAAAAATAAAATATATCCTGAAAAAACATCTGAGATGATTTGACTATGATTGCAGGGTAGTTGTATAGTGAGCATGACAGTAAAAGTAGTATAAAGCTTCATGAGATGGAAATAAATCCATATTGGAGCTCTTATTAAAAAATACTGCGCTTACTACTGGGCATTTTTTCTACTTCTGCTAAATGGCCATGATTTTATCTATGAATAGTGCTGCAGTGAGAGAAGGATTATGTTTCTTAAGGTTTTCATTCAACTGATATCTGCCAGTAACATGATGTAAGAATTAGCACAAGGCTTAATGAAATGCAGTTAAAACTAATTTTTATGAACATGTACCTGTGGGGGGCAACAAAAATGCAACCTGAAGTGGTAATGAATTTCCATTCACCTGGAAGTAGAGAAACAGATTTACAGTTTTTAAGCCTAATGACCTGGATGCTGCTGTGGTTTGACTCCTAAGTTATCTTTTTGTTCCATAATTATTGCTTTTGTCAGTGCATCCAGTGCTTACTTATTAGTTACGGTAAATGGAACTTGTGTTCTTGTTGACTGGGTCAGAGCCTTTGCTCAGTCAAAGTATAATCACCATTTTCTATGGAAACTTGGAATGTTCAGCAATTTTTTTGTCTACAGCCACATTTAAAAGTTGAAGTAGGTTTTTGCTGGCATACTAACTATTTTGCTGGCTTGGAGTTAACTCTGTTTTGAAACTTCCACAAAAACAGGTCAAATATTTGGTTGAGTTGCAGAGAATATATGCTATGCAAGTATAGTTGTTTGCTGCTGTAATTATTTTCACAATGTTCATAGTGAGATCAATGAGGATGAAGTGCGCTTCAAATATTTTTTTGAACTGTTTTGTACAAGTTGACACCTGCATGTCTGACCTAAACTCAGAATATGTGATAATCAGAGCTTCTTATAAACAAAACAAAGAAAACAAACTATTTGGAATCAACATCTAGGTCTGTTTACTAATCTGTTAGTCTCAAATTCTAATATTTAGCTTCTATTCATCTTACTTTGTGTTTGTTACTCCTAATGCTTAATGCTATGCTTTCTCTTTTTTTCCTTGCCAGGTAATTTTTTGTTTTAACCTAAGGCAATATGCATCATACTACCAAATTTCTGTGCCAAGTTTGCAGGGGTCTTTTTTCCTATTGACTTAGGGAAATGCCAAGCCAAGTACTGAATTTTAGGAGGTGCTTAGAAAGGGGAAAGAACCCATTACCTCTTCAAGTTGTGGGGTTACCACATTGCTCAGTGAGAGTATATGACCACAGAGTTTAGAGCACTCCAACTCAAATATACTGATTTCAGTTGCACCTTGGGAAGCTGGTGAACAAGGCTATTTTAGTTTCTTTTTATTGTTATGATCAGGGAGCCATTCATCTAGATGTCATACACATCAGGTGTAAACAGTAAAACTCCATATATCCTGTATTTCTTTAACTTGGTCTTCTACACCTACTTTGGGACAAATGCCTGAGCAGCTTTGATTGTGTGTTTTTGACAGGCTGAGTAAAGAGGTGGTTGTACAACCTTTTCTTCAGGGTTCTTTAATTACAAAACTAAACTTTCCTCTAGACTTGCGTTCTATTTAGCACTTCAATCAGATCTCATCCATAAGCTGTTCGGGCATGAAAATGCACATATATTTTCCACCAAATGCACTATTTGTATGTGCTCAAGCATGAGAAGTATTTCATTTTGCAAGGCAATGCAGTGCAAAAGTTTACCTGGAAATGGCAAGTAGTGTTGCTCCTTCTTTGAAGAGAAATGCCTTAGTTTTACAGAACATAAGATGGCATAGATTGCCCTAATGGTGTCTAGAAGGAAGCATATTTGTTCCAGTCTTGTGGGAATGTGGTATAGCACTACTTGGTGCATCTTCTTGGTTCCTTATGCTTAAGAAAAAGAATCAAGAGCATATTTATGAGGTAACTTAAGTGTTTGCCTAACTGTAAAGCCTCATTCAGAAATATGCTGTTAAATTCTAATTCTGTCTTGTTTCTAATAATAAGAGATGCCTGTGGAATTCTGACAAGTTTTGTCCTGCCCATACGATGGATGGAAACTTTTTTTTAATAAAAAACCCCTGTAGCCTCAGTTTCATCAGCCTCATTTGATGAAATGTGTAACATCCTTTCATTACGAAAAGCCTTGACCCAGTGCTTTTCAGCTCTCCAAGCTCTGTTGGAACTCACTCAGGCTCTAAAAACTTGGTGTATAGAACTGTTTGCCAGTGTTTGGCTGTTTGAAGTCTTCCGTTAAGACTAACAGCATTTCCTAATCAAACATCTTTTTCTTACTATTTTGTACAAGGAAACTCAACAAAAAGGTGTAGCTGGTTTATAATTTTGCTTATCCCTGGCTTCTAGAACACAGTTTTTTCTCCAATGCTATTACAATTATGTGATTAGAACAGTGGTGGTTTATTGCTACTGAGGGAATTGGGAGCTAAGGACTGTGGGATGGAGTGTGGAAGTATGTTATTCCTACCTCAATAGCCTGCCATATAGTGTGAAAGCTGCATAGGAATAAATTAAGTTAATTAAAAAAAAAAGTTTGGTCTGTGTGGAAAGGTATTCAGGCAGCTGTAAGCTATTTGCTATGTGTAAACTATTGTACAAAATCTACATGAAGTTCTTATCAGTCTGAGTCTCTGAAATTGTTGTTCCAATTGTTTCCTTTAATTTTCAGTACAGACTCTAATCTGGTTCTTTTTGTACTCCAGTGAGGACAAAACCATTATTAAACATGTATATAATACCAGTAACTAACTTGAGGCTGCAAAAGATGAATTAACTTTAAATCTTAAATTTATCTTACTAGAATTACATAATAAGCTCTGGGATCTGATGAACCTGAGTGCATGTGTTCAGTCTCTTGTTTGGTAGTTTCATTGCTGGGCTGTGCAAATCAATAATGGCAATTATTTTTTTTCCTTTGCCTTCTGAAAAAAAAATGCCAGCTGTGTCACTTGTGTTCTACCTCGGCTTCATATAGTCTAAAAAGCCAAAAATATGTATGTTAATGATGAGTGTAGAAGGCAAACTAGTTTAAAACTGGGTTGTAGTGTGAAATCAGGTGAGTCAAAAGGGATGTAATGCAAGAAAGGGTCTTCTGAGTGAAGAGCAATGTATTGGAGATTCGAAGAAGTGTGTCAGTCCATGTTGTTTGTCACTTCAGCATAGATTAAAGCCTTCAGCTCTCCTTCCATTAACTTTTTTATATTCATATTGATCTGAGGATCTAGTAGCTTAATTCATGGAAAAGAAGAGCTGACGGGGCAAAGAAAAGGAAATGCTGATTTACGTACAGGGAGCTTCAGTTACTTAAGGTAAGAAGTTAAAGTTCAGAGCCAGTTACCTTACTGGACAGGTGTTATGTCTACCTACATCACAGATGGTTTCATGAGATTTATCTTTTAACTTCAATTTGTAACTTCACAATAAGTTCCTCAGATTTTCCTAATAGTATCTTGATTAGTTTTATTTAAAATATCATCTGTCATGAAAAAATAAACAAGCATGTGATTGTTCCCAGTTTAGTTGTTCCACTTTTAATGGGCTCCTTGAACTAAGTAGTCATGTGGGGTTTAAAAAATGTCTTTATTAAGGTAGTAAAGGCAAGTGAGACTTATCTTTTAAAGTTACTGTTGGTACTAAACAAAAGATAATGGTTAGTCAGGCATTCATAATGGACTGACATAACTAAGAAGTTAATACAATATTGTTTGCTTACTTGGTCCTTAATTTCAAGTGTCTAGGAACAAGGTACATTTCTACAAAGTGTGCACTAAGTGTGTACTAAGTTTCTACTGTGTTTCTACTGTTAGATTTTGCCAATTTTGAGTTTCTACTATGGATTTCCACTGTTTCTACTGGGTTTAAGCTTTTACTGGTGTAGAAGCAATACAGTTTTGGTATCTTTCACCTTTTCCTTTTAGATCATGGAGAGTATGCATGGGATATAATGTTTTTGGATGTAGTCTTATAATTCAGCCAACATTCCTTCTTGAACATCCATTCTGAGTTGACTTCTTTGTGCCTACTGCCTTAACAGGATTGATAAGGCAAAAATTCATACTGGTCCATCTAGTTGTAGTGATCTGCATAATATACTGAGGGATATCACTGGCAGAGTTGTGTAAATAAGGCTACCCTTACTGAAATAGGTTTAGTTTCATATGGTGACTGGAGCTAATTGAAATGGGATTTTAACGAAGGCTTAAAGTGGCTTAAATGGTCTATGCAATATAGATTTGCACTGTCTTGACCAAATTAAGCTACTACAGCTGTTCTGTGTACCTATATTTCATGGTTTTGCTTCTCTGGGCCTTAAGCATGCTAAAAGGCTGAGGATGGGATTGGTAATGCAACGTTTTGACTTCTTGGAAATCTTCTGAGGTGTCTGGTTTTTATACCTCTAGCTCTGTGTTTCAGTGTTGCAATATTAACACATTTCTGCTAGATCATAACCGTATAAACATGCAATGTTTTTCAGCCTCATACAATTGAAAATTATGAATGAAGGTTGCTTTATGATGGTGATCCCTTAACAGATTTGTGTTTTTGAAATGTTAAGTTATCCTTCTTTGTAAATTAGTGAAGGGATGAATTGTTTTGTCTGAATGATTGCAGATTTTTGGGGTAGCTTTTTTGTTTATATACTCTTGTGTTTAAAAAAAAAAGGCAGAGTGTCAAGACTGATATGTTAAAAATTGAAGTTTATATGCAGAAGTGTATCCACTGAACACTAGCTTGCATGTTCATAAACCAAAAGGTAGTGTGTTGATGATCACTGATTTCTTTTTTTATGACAGTTTTGGTCATGTAAATCATGGTTAATCTTTTTAAATTTATAGGCAAGGATATTTTTCTTCAGCAGGTTATATTTCAGCTGGTTAATATAGGTGTTTAAAACCAGGTTTGAATGCAGTTCTTTACACTGAACTCTACCTTTTTGCCAATGGAAAAAAATGAATTTGAACAAGTATGTGTTTGTGTACATATACATACATACGTATTTCTGTAAAAAACCTGATGTGTGTATATATATATACAATTGTATATCTCGTGATCCAAATATCAGGTTTTTGAGAAGGATGTGTTGTAATATTCTGTTTTATTTAACCCTGTAGTTTGTTCGACTTGTGTCTGTCTTCAAATGAGAATTAAGCTGAATGTACAGAAGTAGTACAATTGCTTAAGTTTAGATATAAACTTTTGTCTTTAAAATGCAGAACACCTGCTTTGTAACCTTAAATACAGATGATTGCTCAGATTCCTATTGTGAACATGCTTAAGCAGCTTACCTGTCTGCATTTCTTTGGCTACAGATTTAGTTATTTCTGAAATCTATACAATGTGCCAAGGTGCCTTCAGGGAAAAAAAAAATCAATGCCACATCCGTTTTGTTAAATCAGTGCATCTTCTCAGCCATCTGGTTATCCTCTTTCAGCTCCTACTGATTTCCTGCATTTTATCTTAAATGGACTTTTATGTATTAGCTAAACAAAGGTAAAGCAAAGGCTTTCCGGCATATCACCAACTGCGAGTACTTAAATGGAAGCACCAGTGTTAAGTCAGTTCTGAACCCTGGCAACAGTATGTATCCAGTGTTGTAATACACTTGATTTGTGGTATCAGGTTCTGTATGTGACTCGTACTTCTTGCTCATGCTGTTTATTTTTCCTTTTTTTCATAATGCTTCAGATAACACAAATATAGTATATTCTCATTAAATAACCAGCTCATGTGAGTGAAAGTATGTCTGTAGGAACTGGTTGCTTACATTGCAATAGTACCCTGGGTTTTCAAAGTCAACAAGATTTCTGTTCTGCTGGAATTCATGTGTTTGTAGCTTTTCCTTTTTTCATTCTCCCAGGAGTTTGCTTAAACAAAAGACAACTAACTGTGGGGACATGATCCAAAGTCACTCCTTGACAGTATGAGCCTCTAGGCAATATCATTCCTATGCACTAGCTTGCTTCTGGTTTGCGAATCGAGTGACTGCAATAATATGTCGAAGTATGGATGGGATTTTAAAGGTTGTTTTCTTTGTATTTGGAAGCATTGCATATATCATAAATAGTTACTGCACTTGTCCAGGCACTGACATCCTAAAGCTATGTATAGTTTTTGTCTGCAAAATTCACTATGGCTCTGCTATACTACTTCAACATTTTTGCCTCTGTATGGAAACTGAGGGGAAGCAGAAGAGTGACTCCAGAAACTGCCAGTTTTCCAATTTCTTGATGCTTAATTTTTTTCTAAGTGTATTTTACCTTTTTGCTTTCAATTCCACATTATTTTTCCCTTCACTCTTTACTTATGCGAATTAGTGGTTTTAAATACATGAACTTTTTTTTAAAGCACTAAGTGTATTCTATAACACCAGAGGTTTAAGTTCACTTAGATGGGTGGAAATATAATCCAAACCTTTGGAAACTATTTGCAGAGGTGGTAAGACAGCAAAAGTGGGCAGTATTACGATGGCATCTGAATTATGGTGTATGAGTTAGTAGTTCCGTAATAGGCCTGGGCTGGGTTTCTGCGAAGACTTTAGCTACTACAACCAACTTTCAGTCAACTGATCTAGCTCTCAGAAGTCAAACAAGGTGATATCCAGCAATTTTAACTGAACGAGTTTCAAAAGCAAGCAGTAGTAAATGGCAGCTTTGTGCTGTGAGCAGTTGTGATGTGGAGTAGGTGCTCGGAAGGAAGCAGTTAAATGATGCCTCCTTGGATGTTGCTCCCATCTAAAATACTAGAGATGTCGTGCTATTTGTAGAAATTAAGAATGCTGTGAATTTTAAAGCTATTTCTAGAAATAATTTTTTTAAAAAAACTTCGGTAGTTGCTTCCACATTTTTGGTTTGTATAATGTTGTCTGCTCTTAGTCTTAGATCATTCTGTACCCCTGTCAGTTTTTAATTAGAAATGTTACCAAACTGATCTGGTTGTTTGGACCAGCTTCAGACCACATAACATGATGTCATGGGCCATTATTTTTGGTAACCGCTGCTCTAAGAGATGGCATTCTAGTTGTTCATATATTAACAAAAAACCCCCAAAATCCAGAATAAATACACAGGCTCTTCTTGGTGTTTCTCATTCATGTTTCCTTTGTGCATTGTAGTAAAATGCTGTGACACCAGCAAAGACATCGCAGGCTAAAGGCAGAATTGCCTGTCTGAGATCTGCTGAAGTTGCATTATACTTTTGAGTCGCTTTCATCTAAAACAAAGTTAAACATTAACTTTCCATTTTTATTCAAATGTTTTCAAGGATTTGAAATGTTCATTACCAGTTGGACTTGGACTTTCGGAGACCAGAATAACATCTCATGGCTTTGACAGTACCAAAGAGGGAATCGTTGAGGCAGGACCATTTCCAGGTAAACAGCTCTTTTACCTTTATTTCTCAATTTAAAATCTCTAGGCGTATTTTCATATGGTCAGGAATAGTGTGTTCGGTACCTGCTTTGAGCATTTTGATGTAAATGTACGCAGCGAGATGCACATTAGTGACAACCTGTTGATTTTCTCTGGTAGCTGGGTTGTTAAAATTGAGAGCAAGTGCCACACTTGTAGTGTCCGTCAAGAGACTAGTGGAAACTGTAGTGTTAAATTGGCTTGCGTTTGCAGGAAGGGAAGTCCCTGAGCACCTTGAAATGGTGTCAGACTGCAGAATTTTACTATTGCGTTGCACTGAAGTTTTCTTTAAGGGTTGCAAGTATTATTTTGATTTGAGACAAAACAAGAGCAGAATGATTTCATCTTGGTTGCCTCTGAGACTTGTCTCCTTTTTTTTGTTATAGTGCATATATTACTTTAATACACTGTTTTAGGAGTGATAATGCTTTGGGTCTCATTTTCCAGGTACTATGTAATGAGTTAGTGTCCTCATATATTCTCAGCATTGAGTTGCGGTTGTTTATAGCAGAAGGATTTTAGTTAATATTCAATTCACTACGCTGATATTAATGTATGTTTTAGAGTATCTAAGCTAGTATTAAACAATGGGAAATACAAAGTGATAAACAAGCCAGTAATGTCAGCGCTTCCCATCTGTCTGAAAAACAATAGAGTGCCATGATATAGTATGTGAAAGCGATATTTTAATGAACCAGGTCGTTTCGACAGCCTCTGAATTTGAAAGGTTTGAAATTATGTCAAATGTGCAGCTGTGAAAATAAGTCTCTTTGTAGTTTGTTTTGCTTCATTTATTGTTTGGTGAAATGTTGTGCTTATGAAAACAGTGATTTACATGCTGTATGTTACATATATTACAAAGTGAATGCGGTGGTTCCTTGAAGTCTTTGAAATTAGCAAAATATCTAGCTCAAAACTGGGCAGATGGCAAACTGCTCACCATTCTTGCCTTTTTGTATTCTATTAGCAGGATAACTCTTGCAGCTGGAAGTGCCTTAGCCTGTAAAGGAAAAAGTGTCAAAGATGTGTTTCAAGCTACAGTAACACATTTGAAATCCAAGTGTTCTGTAGGAAGTTATGTACACAAATTATGAGCTTTGGGCATGCAATTTTTAACACTTTAGATATCGCAGCTTTCCTCTGAGGGTATTTTCTTCAGATTTTTCCTAATGCTCTAACCAAATCAGAAGTGGTAGAAACTAAGGCTTCTTGCGAAACTATGGGCAAAAGTAGAGTGGTTGCCCCATTTCCAGAAGTTCTGTTTGAGTGCCCTTATTAGGGCTTAGGTTTTGAATGCAAAGAGGAAAAGGGCTTTTGGGATTTGGGAGATGGTGAATGATGAAGCGTGCATAAGGCTGCAGTAATAGCCTTTCAAATGATAAGGATTTTTTAAACTACTTGTCTTAGCTCGCTTGCTGAAATGATTCAGTCTTTAGGCCTCCTGCAGGATCTTGCAGGCAAACTTTTACGCCTGGATGAATCCAGTTGCAGCTCTTATGCAATGTGTCGCTACAGAAGAACGCAGCTAGTGAGCTGTCTTTCAATCTTGTCTTTGCTGTGCAATTGGATCCGAATCTTTGGATTAATTGTACCCTGTGTTAGTAATGCTCTAGTATGTTTAAAAGGCAGAAGTTGATTGTTGATTCAGTTACTTGAATGATATTTTTGGTGTTACTGATAACTAAGTTTTGTTGCAGCTGCTGAAATTTAGGTTTGATTTTGTTGTTCTTCTAGCACACTGCCAGAGCCCTGAATTAACTCAGGATTTCTCAGCAAAAGCAATAAAAGCTCCCACCCCCACCTCTCCCAATATGATGTTTACTCATCACTACAGAGAAAAAGCTTGTTTGTTTGGTTTTTAAATCCTCAAAGTTTCATAAGAATGCCTCTTTGCGTTTAGGTGATACGAAATAGTAGCAATGGTCTCTAAATCCTCAAACAGCTTAGAGAACACACGTGGTGTAGATTATCAAAAGTTTTGATTTGCTTTTTTTATTAGAGAACAAGCAAGTGCTGTAAAACCTTTCTTTTGGGAAGGGGATGACACACCTTAACAGCTAATGGCTCGTATGATCTTCAGGGTAGCTTATTGCTGTGTGTTTACACAGACTTAGGAGCAGATGTTAATCAAGTATATCTGAAATTCGCACAGATATCGGAGATTACTTCACCCCTTAATGCTGTGAGTACCATTCAATGACAGTGCAGAATGAAATCTACCTAGACCTTAAAAAGGAAGTTTCAGCTGTGGAAACTGTGTACAACAATCATTCATGGAATTTTCTGTTGATAGTATATACTTCACTGATGAAGCTGTCTGTGTATTTTGATTACTTTTACAAATAAAACCCACCAAAAATGGGGCATAGCGACCTGAAGAAAAAGATGAAATCGTAAAAACTAGGAGTAGTTCACATGAACAGCTGTGCCTGTTAAAACATTTCCATCAGAAATTCCAGCAACTTTTCTATGAATGCTTCTACTTAGTGTGTTGCTGAAGCAAATATTTCTTTAGCTTGACCAGAAACCCCCTATCTGTTTAAGAGCATGTATTGCATTCTAAGGGAAGATGATGGCTTTTTCACAGTTAAATGTGTCCCCTTTCAGGTTCCTCAGCATCACCCAAATCCTCTGTTATAGCTCCTAGCAGTGCAGCAGCTAGCAGACTGGCTGGACAAGGTTGTGATTTAATTATTCCCACAGGTATCATAGCACTGAATGGATAACGCCCTTGTCTCTGCTGACACTGTACTAACTCTTCCATGTCTATAGTAATTTGATTTACTGTTAGTTAGAAATACAATTTCTGGGGTTTTTTGGTGGCTCTCATTTCTGGCTTTTTACAGTGCACACAGTAACCTCTGCTTTCTTTTCTGTATGCTGCTTTTTGCTCTATAAAATAAAAAAATTATTACCAAATATTAATAATAACAAACAGTAGCTAAAATGGGAGTAACCAAAATATTTTATTTAGGTTAAAGCTGAAACTTTCAACTCTTTTTGCCAAAATGATCACATATTCCAGTAGAATAGAGTATGAGGTGGCCATTAGGAATTCACGACACCCAAACTAGGCTTTGCCACTTGACTCATTTTGTGCCTATGGGCAAATTACTTAACATCTTTGTCTGTTTCCTCCTATATAAAAGGAGAAAACCTATTTGCTTACCTCATTAGGGTGTTGAGACGATTAATTACTTAATGTTTGCACAGCATTTTGAAGACGTAAAGAACCTAGTAGAGCTTGATGCTAAAGGAGTATCTTGAGGCATCTGTAATGACTTTTTCTCAGCTCTTATTTACATAAATTTCCTGGCAAGGCTGAGGTGACTGAAGGTAGCAGTAGGGTTTAGAGGCAGGAGTAGTCAAAACTGTATATGAATAAATAAATATGTTGCTTGAAAAGCTGTGCTCTGAAGTTCTTAGAATTAAGATATTAGGAAATATTTTTCCAAAATTAAAACTTGGAATCCACATGATATCCCATACTAGCTTGAAAATGCTAAGATTGACAATTAATGTGTGGTCATTGGCCCTAGATATCTTAATTTGTTGCTTTAAATCTTTTCCTTGTTGCTGTTTTTATACTGGTGGTTTGTAGAATAAGTTATGCCTCATACAGATAATAAACCTGAAATGAAGAAGTTAAATTTTGGCTCAACCCACCTTCTGGAAGGGACTTCCATTGTAATAGATAAAAAAAATAGGGTTTAAAATTTATTAGTTGTACTCTGTGACAACAGTTTCTATAGGCTGAGGATTTTCATTTAGTGCTCCTCAGGTTATAAATTGGCTTTTAGATTGGCTAAATTCAAGAGGATGTTCAACTGTGGGAATTGTAAAATGCAGATTCAGTAATAAATGTCTCAAAAGCTGTTTTAAGGTTGGGTAGTAAAACTCCATGTATAAAGGTAACCTCTATTCAGCCTGTTAATATGTGAAATACTGAGATATGACCCGCTGTATGTCAGTTCTAAAGTAATTCTTTCTTTCTAAAATTGATTTTGAAGACCTGCATAATCACTTTAACTTCTTACTGTCACCCTGCTCTGCTTTTGCATGTGCAGTTGCACAAATCTTCCGTGCCTGCTATTAATCCCTTAAAACAAGCAACCAAACAAAAAAAACTCCAAGGCCTTGAAGATTTGCTTTGTGTCTGACACAGGGGGAAGAGCTCCACAGAAGAGTGGACCTGTTGTCTTAGCAGATGAGGTAAAGAATCCAGCAATGGAGAAATTGGAATTGGTGCGGAAGTGGAGCCTAAACACTTATAAGGTATGCAGACATGTAGCTGTGTGCGTGTATGTCTTGTAGAAATGAGTTGCTACTAGATCAGGCTGGAGCTTTCCAAGTCTTGTAATACTGTATGACATCAGTCTGTTGCAGTGAGCATAAGCAAGAATGCATAGGGAGGCTTATTTTTCTTCCAAGTCTAGCATTCTTTGTAAGTCTTTTTAGATCCCTGGTTTTAAGTGGAAAATCTTTCATAAGCATCACTAATTTAACAGGGTGAAGAATGTTACGTTTCTGACGTCCCCTTCAATGTACAGAATGTATGGATTTTGGCACTAATGCTTGTAATTCAATGTTTTTGCTATCTTTGAGTTGATTGCTGATACAGTAAAACTTTAGCTGATGGGAAAGTCAGGCCCATCTGCAAGTTCTGTACTGGTTAATTGCTATTCTGATGTCTTTATTCTGTCTTGGCTATTTTGGGTTTTTCTTAGTTTTGGAATTGTTGCTTCGATTTGTGTGTATTTTACTCATGAAAAGTAAAGAAGTATGTACTACTTTGATCAATTGGGATTTGATGAAGCTTGAAACACTAACAAAAGAATTTTTAAAAGGTGCTTAAAGCACAGTAGTTAGCCGGAAGTGACTGTCATGAACTGTAAGGTAAGGAACAATTGTCAGAGCATACATTACTATTGGGAGTTTTAAACAAGGACCAGTTTTTTGAAAAATAGCATTCTTTAATGACTAGAACTTAAATGACAGAGGTGTGGACATGTGGGTTGAGCATCAGTGGCATCTACATCAAACCATGAAGAAATGAAGAATCTGTGGAAAGAACTTGCCCTGTAGAACACAGGCCTGAATCCCTTCAGTATTCTGAAGTCCAGATAAGGTCTTCCTCCCCAGTGAGGATGGAGACATTCTACCCATTAGTAAATGCTTCTACTGTTCTTTGTATTAGAATCAGAAAGTTGCATTTTTTTTTATGTCAAAATAAATGGCTTTTAGAATTTCTACTTCTCTTGTAATCTAAATTTCATAGCAACTGCAGTAGTTTGTCAGCCACTCCTGTGGCGTGCTGTAGTCCAACCAGAATATAGGCTATTCAGCTGGAGCAGTTCTTTAAAACTGTCTGTTTTTTAAACAGTGACTCTGGAGATTGAATCTGCTAGACCACAGTTAAATAGGGGAGGTTTTCACCTTATTCTTTCTTTTTGGTGCCTTGATTTAGGAAGCAATAAAAAAAAAATCCCCGCATCTCAATTGCAGAATGATTGCAAATCCATTTACGTGAAGCAGTAGCCAGAGGACTAGTGTAAAATGGTCTCAGATCCTTGTTTAGAACATTACTTTGGCAGTAGTCTTTGCCAAGTCCAGATTTCTTTCTTGGCTTAAATCTCCTCCTCCCTGAATTCCAAAATCCCACCAGTTAATGGCATAGCAAACCAAGACTATCACTTTCAGAAAACTAAATCTATAATTTAATAATCTACCTACAAGCTTGAAGTTTTGTTCCCCAAATATGCCTAAGAAGATAGGTCAGTTATGATTTTTCTAGGGTCCCATACTGACTTCTTGTATAGCTTTTTTTGGAGGAATAGGATTGTTCAGAGAGTACAAATTCAGTCTGAGTTAAGGGAGCATTATGCAAATGTCCCTGGAGGTGCTGTACATTTGAAAACACTTTGTATGTAGGCTACGTACAATAAGCGTATTTGATTTGATTTAGGACAATATTTCAGTTTGACTTACTGGCTTGCTTTGGTTCCCTTTAGGAAGGTTGTGGGAAGAAGCCTCCTCCTTATCTAGTAACAGCTAACTGATCATAGGTTAGGAGATGCACAAATAAATGGTTAGCAGAGGGAAGTTGGCAGTTGAACCCCCGAGTTGAAAGCCATGTTATTCAGTGTACCCAGCATTAATCTGCAAGTGGAGTTAGTGGTGAAACTTGCTGTTAGAAAGTTCTTTAGGGATCTGATGTGTAGTTCCTCTGTCACTGTGTCTGTATCAGGAGTTGTGAAATCCAAATTGCTGGCTAAGTTCAGAACTCATACACATCGGTGAACAGATGATTAAGTATGCCAGCATATATTTTGAGTACCTTGCTTTTCATTCCATATGTGTTTCCGTGAATGGGAGACAAATGCTTTTGTCATCTCCTGCTCTTCTGTTTTAAGAAACTGTTTCCAAACAAAAACCACAGGAGGTTAAAGCTGCTCTTCTGTCCAGCCTAACCATGAATTTTCATAGACTGTATTTAACTTTTGCCTGTAACTTGATAACATCATTCTGTGGCCTTTGCAACTACAGTCCCTCTTCACGCTCTCCAGTCTTACACTCCTTAGTAATGGTGAGTTAGTGTCCAAAGAAATTACCCTTCTTTCCATGGTCTTGTGGCAAAAGCTTTTTCTGTTCTTTACCCTTCCCCTACCTGCTCTTTTGGATGAGAGAGACATTTTCAGCTTAGCAAGAAGACAGACACAAAAATGTGACTTTACTTGACTCTTACGATTCTAATAAAAAGCTTACCTTTGTTTTTCATACAGCTGCTTAAACTGAGGACAAAACCGACATAGCTATTTTATAAGCCTCTCTAAAATTGGATACTGGTGGAATTTGAGACATGTCCAGTAATGTGTCTGTTCGTCTTTCAACATATGTGATTTAAAATAGGTTTCTCTATTTCAGAATGTATTTTTGGAGGGTTTTTTTTTTTTTGAGAGTGTTTTTCTTAAACTTTGCCTTGTGTGACTTCTTTTTGAGGAGTGTGGCCCTACTCAGGAGAGCATTCTTCATAGATACTCTTAGAACAAAGCAAAATGGAATTAACGTGTGGGATTTCATTTGCTGGTGAGAATGTACAACGACTTGTGTGTCTGCACTAGTCTGCTTAGAACTAGAGTAAATCAAAATAGACAGGTGCATCTTCCATCCCAGTTATTCTTGGTCAGTCTCAGTGCTCAACTTCAGCTATATCTCACCTTAACCAACTATGCAGTGTAAGTCTTTCAATTACTATTTTTCTCACTTGTCACTCCTGGGGTTTAAGTTGTTTTGTTTTAACCTGTGAAGCAAATACTCCTTGTTTGAAAATAACACCTTCCTTTGTAATTTATTATTGTTCCCAAGAAATTTGCTTTCAATGAAAGAATTTCTTGCATTTCTATAGGTGTTTGTGTCTCAGATTTTTTGGAAAATAGCCAGAATTTGTCCATCAATTCCATCGTTTCTAGTGAAATGTTTGTTTATGCTCTGACCACAAGCATTGCTAAGCTGCGTTTTTCAATTTCTGTTGCAGACTTTGGTCATAAAGTTGTATTCTGTGTTGATATGATTTGTTATGCTCTCCCAAATTTCTGATTCTTGACAGACAAATGCCTCCTAGATCAGCTGTGCTCTTGTTAATTGGTTGAACCTAATTAAGTAGCCCAAATAGTCTGTACCTTCCAATTTCAAGTTTGTTACTGACCAACTTGTTCTGCTTGATCACTCTTGAGTCTTTCCTGTGTTTGTCTATTAAATTTAGAAAGGACATAAGTTCTAGCAGAGTAAATGTGTGTCTCCTTTGAACCGAAGTAAAGACTGGACAAAACTGAGGGCTTTTAATTTGGAAGCCCTGGGAAATCCAGTGATGTAATGTATTTGAGGAATGTGATATAAGATAGGCTTGGGCATGATGTCACCTAACAAAATAGTAGCTTTGCACTTAACCTATGTCCCTTCAGAATAGTTGAGGCTTGACTACTAAATTAGTTTCCTTGTAATTCTGTTTCTAGTAGTAACTCTTCATACATGTAACTTGGTTATCCCTTTACCTCTTGGGACCACAGATTAAGTGATGTACAACAACAGTAAATAATTCCTGCTTGCCACAGAGAAATTGTATGGCTTTGCTACACATCTGCTTTGCAAATGGCTTCTCCTATGTGTCAGTGAAGGGAAACCCAAATGAGCATCATGGGAGGCTCACTGCCAAGTTGGGCTCAAACCTCTGGCAGAGGTGGTGTGAAGAGTTAAGTGGGATGTGGTAGTGGCCTCAGCTGTCACAGCCATTGGCTGGGTGAAAATGTCTACAGCCTTGTAAGGGCACATTTTCTGCTCCCTGTGTTAATGAACTACAAATCTGTTGAGAATTTGACTTGTCACAATAAATGTCTTTCTGAGACTATCCGCTCCGTTTTATAGATATGTAAATAATGAGAAACACGTTTTAATAGTTTCACATATTTCTCAATAGGAGTTCCCAGTTTCTCAGTCAGCTTTAAAAAAACATGCTGAAAACCACCAACTCTCTACCTCCCCTGGAAATAAACCCCCAAAATAACATTTTTGGAAAACATAGCATGACTGACTTGGAATTGGATGGTTGGTAGAGGGCTTTCTCAGAAGATCACGAACTAGACGTTTTTACGCAGAACTAGTAATGCTCCTATTAACTGACTTTAATGCAGTGGGCTAAATTGCTTCTTTTAGCTTAATGAGATTCACCAAACCTAAAAAGAGATAAGAGTTCTTTTTACTTGAGAAACTATTAGTTACGCTCTTGACTTGCTAACTTGAATATTCATCTTAGTTGGAGTTGAGGCTTGTCCCACTGTTCTTGCTGAGTCCTGATAAACTTCTAAAGAGTGTGTTGTTTTTTCAGTTTGTTGTGCAAACTTATATTGGGAGGGGTGATTGTGAAAGAATTGTGTGTAATTATATGTCCCTTGAAGCTGAAAATGGGTGTATGCTGTGTGTCTTGGATATACTTGCTTCTTTATAATTTAAATTTTTTTTCCCCAGTGTACACGTCAGATCATCTCTGAAAAATTGGGTCGTGGCTCAAGAACAGTAGATCTGGAACTAGAAGCTCAGATAGATATATTGAGAGATAACAAAAAGAAATATGAAAATATCTTGAAACTGGCACAGACGCTGTCCACACAACTCTTCCAGATGGTACATACCCAAAGGCAACTTGGAGATGCGTTTGCTGACCTGAGTTTGAAATCATTGGAACTTCATGTAAGACTCTTATAGTGTTAAAAAATAAAATGGCAGAGATGAAGATAAGCATAATTTGACTCACGTAGGATATATAGCAGTTAGCGACTGTTTTTCTAAGCGTTGTAGTTAACACAAAGAGCATATAATATATTGTTAAAAGTTTATGTAATTTACTTAAAACTATAGGAAATTATTGAAATTACTGTAGTTCTTTGTTTGCCTTTTAGTTAATGGCTGGACGCAAGAACTGGTAACTTAGTGTAGAAAATGCATTTTACTATACAATTTGCTTCTAATGAAACGTCATCACAGTGTTTGAAAGTGTTATGTCACTTCAATCACAGGATGTCTTTGGGGAATATGCCTGGGAGTAAGTAGAATAGGTCACATTACTTGTGCCCATTGAATGTAAGTTATTTTTCTGAAGCATATTCAAGCATTGATATTACATCTCAAAGTCCTTTGTTTTAATCACAATTTTGCTACTAGTAGGACTAATCTATATTCTTATGTTGTTTGGGGTTTCTGAGTAAGAGACAATCTTTAGACATCTGCATTTGGGTTGTTACAAGTCCTTGGTTTTTAAGTTTATGTACGACTGGCAGGTTTTGTTGCCGATAATAAAACTGTCTGCTGTGAGGAGAGAGAAGGTAGATGTTGCATACAAAACATAGTAGCTGGCTTGCTTCTACACTGATTGCTCTGTACCTCCAAAGTTAAAGCAGTTTGATACTGTTACTGATCGTTTGGAAAACCAGTATTAAGGGGCTTAATGATTCCCTGAAACATAGCTGCTGAAACAGCCCAAATTACCTTTGTGATTATTAAACTGAAAACCTCTGTCTGGTTTGTTTTTTTTCTTTTATGATTCTCTACTCCCATTGAGTTTAATGGAAGGAGGTGGAATTGATGCTTGCACAGAGAGACCTTAACTGATAGCTAGCTGAAAAAAATTGACTTCTGCACTGGAGCACAGAGATATCTAATATTTCAGTCTGACAGATGAAAATCTGTGGAAATAGAGCCCTTCTAGCAGCTAAGAAATTAAATAATCTCCTAAAAGCTTTGAATAATCAGTTCACCCTTGACACAAATGTGAGCATGTGGTTTGTGTCAGAACTTGGTGATTGTTACGATGTGATGAAGCTGGACGCTTCTTCTGAAACTTGGATAAAATCTGGCATCATGCTCTTGTTTAATGAATGTCTTTTGGTGTGGTTTGGTTTTTTGTCTGTTTGTTTCCCTCAATAGCTTGTAACTTCTAATGGAATTACTGTTCTTCCAGGTTCTTTCAGCATCTTGTACTGGTCTTGGAATTTTTGTCATTCATCTCTTGTGTAGATTATTGAATGGGGCTGTTGATGCAAATCAAATAAAGGTTTCTGCTGCTGTAATAAAATTTACCTAACCTCTGCCTCTTGGAGACTTGCCTAATGTTTGTCTCTTTCCTCTTTGTTTTCCCCTTTGTTTAATCTGTGCTTTACTACTATGTGTAGCCTGGCCTATTGTTTTTGGGTGTTTGGGTAGCATTGTTGCCTCAAACTTGTGCAAAACTAGAAGTAAAATTTCTGAACAGTTAGTCTTTAATGTTTAATGTGATAACAGTATAGAAGTTAAAAAAAAAATGCCACCACTTAAGGTAATAATACTTATTTTATACATGGTAACAATGAGATCTTAATGTGGTGTCTACAGAGGTATTACTTAAGGTGAATATTTTCCTGTTTCTCTGTTGGATACAAAGATAACTCCTGGTTGCAGGCTGATGTGCTTCTAATCATATATATACAGATGAATTCCAGTTTTAATTGACATGTGCATAGGGTATGAACTGAGTGTAAATTCTTGCTGCAGAAAGGATTTCCTGTGTGTTTCATAAGGGGTATCTGCAGAGGTCATGGACAAAACTCAAAAGATGGTGTATGAAACTGTATGTATCAATAGAAGGACAGTTTTGGTGATGAGCATGCTTTAGTCCTGCAGGCCACTGTGGTTCCATCCTTCTTACTCCCTCTCCTTTGAACTGGCAGTATTGCTCATGTGGGTCTTTGACCTGGGTCATAGGGCCAGCTGGAAAATTAATTCCAGCCTTGACTGCAGGAGGGAAAAGAGATGTGACTGAACACTGGGAGGGGTAGTCCTGCTGATATCTCTGCTTCTTCCCTGTGCTGTAGTGATTTGACTGGCTGCTTTTGCCACACAAGCAGCTGTGCAAAGCAAAGGAAACTGATCTTCAGTGGTGGTGAAGAGGAGAGGGCTTTGCTCTTGAAAATTTGCTCTAAGTTCTCTTCCTTTTTTCTCCTCCTCTCTCAAATTGCTGACTTCAACTGCACCTCCTTTTCTAGAGACTGCTTCTTTTACCATTGCCTGTTACCCCTACCCTCATGAAGTCCTTAATGTTAACATGAAATGTCATTTGGCTTCACTGTTTGTTGTAGGCAGATAACAGGAAACTGGGAGAATACAGCAGTTCTGAGTCAGTTGTTGGCAGTGTGCAAGCCTAAGAAGACAAAGTTCCAAATATGAACCTAGCGTGTTTTAGAGCCATTACAACCAAAGATTGTACTCTGTTGTGAGAACTCCCATCTGCAGAATGTGAAGATGCCATATGGATGACAAATATAATAATTGGACTCGTTTGGCATCCCTGCATTAGGAATATCTTTGCAGCCTTGGTCAGGGCTTACACTGCTGTTAACAAAGATATGAACAAATGTATATCCAAATGTGACTGAAGTGCCTTGGAAATCATTTCACCCTTGTCACTTTAAAATTTATGGCTGAGCTACATTATCGTTTTTATTTGCTATCCCTTACAATGTTCTGCTCTTCAATTATTTACAGCCTATTAAACTCTGATAGATGTTGGGGGTTTTTGCAGTGCTCTGTTCCAGAACGTAAGAATAAGACTTAATAGCTAATTAATGCTGTGTGCCCTTGTGAATTTAGTTCTATTACTGTATTTAATGTAGTTGTGTCTCTGGTGTGTAAGCATTGCCTAGACAACCACATGAGAGATGCTGGATTAAAGCCCTGCTGAATGACAATGGAAAAATTCCATTAGCACTTACTTTTAAGTAATATTCAAGATTTCAGAGTGCAGAAAAATCACATAATAATGTAGGTTTTAACATCATACATAGTAACAAAATTATACACCATGTTTTTATGACATCAGATTTCATAACAGCTGTAAACTGAATATTGTATTGGAATCACATCTGTTTAATCAGAACCATACCCAAACAGAAGTGACAAAACTTCCCCATCTGTGTGTTTGTACTGTTTATATAATTGCTGATGAACGTTGATTTTAAATTATCTACAGTTTTGTTTTCTCTGCTTCTTGTTTATAGGAGGAGTTTGGCTACAATGCAGATACGCAGAAGCTTCTGGCTAAAAATGGAGAAACTCTTCTCGGGGCTATTAACTTCTTTATTGCCAGTGTGAATACACTGGTGAATAAGACAATTGAGGATACGCTATTGACTGTGAAACAGTATGAAAGTGCCAGGTAGCTATTCTATGTCTAGCTACTTTCATTACCAATTAGTCTTCAGGAAACATAGTTTCTCTCAGTTAAGTCCTTGTATTGAGTGACTAACCTGTCAGATAAAGACCTTAACAACTGTCATATAATTAGGATTTGCAGTTAACTGCTGCCTCATTGCACATCTCTTCAGATGTTTTGTAAATGTTCTGTTGCAGACTTAATTTTACTTGTTAGCTCTATATCTAAGAGTAAAGATAGCAAGCAGGAAAAAAAATAGCTAGATTAAGGTGGCTTTCTACGCAGTGTGATTAACCCTTTTATTTAGCTAGTTGTAATAGGTGAAATAACTTCTTTGACCTTAACATTTAATCTTGTTGTTCTATTAATGCACAATATGTGCATATCACTTCAGTATTTATGCTGAAGTTGCAGGCCTCATCAGAAAGGAGAATGTAAAGAAGAAAACTTCTTGCTGAATGAGTAATACCTTGCAGTGGGGAATGGGTTTCCTGCCCTGGAGAAGGTTACTTTCAGATGTGGCATAGCACTCTAAAGCCAGGTTCCCTTCTCCTGCAAGGGTGTGGATTTATGGTCCTTTCTGATGCCTAGTTCCATTCTGACTTTCTTTCACTTAATAGGATAAAGTGCGGGTTTTTTTAATTGCCAAAGGATGTAGTTTATGCTTATTACTTTTTGTGACTTTTTTTTTTTAGATAAAAAATTGCAAACTACTTGAGTTTAAGTTCTTTCTCTCCTGTTTTTGTCATTGTTCTGCTCTAATGTTTTATTTGTAAGCAAAATAGTAAGTTACTGTTTGGATATTTAGGTAAACTTTCAAAAGGCATGAAAGGCAGAATTAATCTGAATGTAAAGTGTTGCTTTGGTTTTTGCATTAAAGTATTAAACTAATCAGTTCACACACTTTCCAGGTATCCTCTTGAAAATTTATACCAAATACAACTAAGATTGAAAATGACTGGCAAGAACAATGTATGACTCTTCCCTCCTGAAATATCTTCATTACTTGCTCTTTCTGTTCATTGAAGACATTAAGGGTTTTGCCATTTCAATAAGGCAAATAAATTACAAGTTTTTCACTTACATAGCCAGTCTGTCATTTTGCAATTTGAAATTAGGTCACGTTTATTTCTGTGCCTCTTCTTCCCTGTCCCCAGTTGTTCTTCAGCATTTATCTGTTCCTCTTTTCTATCAACTCTGTATTGGTTTGTTTCCTTTTTGGAATTAAGTCATAAATTAAAATAAAGCCTGAATTGTAGCAGCAATAAGGAAGAACCCTGTGAATATTAAAATTACTTAAATTTCTGAAAATGTTGGGGTTTTTTTGAGCAGTTATAACACCAGCTGAAAAGCTGTGTTCATAACCAGTTTTTAAGCCTGATTGTTTTTCTCCCCAGTTTTAGAAATATCTGTTTGAGACAGTACACTTGAAAAGCCAGAAATAGGCTGGTTTATTCCATTAAAATTGGCATCTATCTCGTGTAGATACACTGGGTTCTGCTAGTTGAAAACTACAAAGAGGGTGTGGAAGGAAGAGAGAGGCCTTGGGCAGGGCTGCCTGTGACCCTGGAGTGCCTTCTGGCTATTGTCTCTTGAGTTACCTGGTCAAGTGCTAGATGGCTGTGAGCAAAGGAGCACATCTTGTGTAAAAGGAGGAAGAAACAAGTTATAGGTTGTTACTACGTTTGTCTCCTCCACTTGTGATAATCTTTTTAAATATAGGAATAACTAATCTGGCAAGGATCCAGTGTTCCAGTAGACTTGTTTGTAACACTGGAAAGTAGAAGGTTTTGTGATACCATCTTTCAAACTATTAACATTCTGTAGGTGCTTCTCCCACCTATAAATGCTGTATGTTGATGAATAGAAAGCTTAACTTAAACTTTCTTGGAGGAAAAAAACCCACCCTTAAAATTTTTGAAGACAAAACTAAATATTCAGACTTATTCTGTATTAAAAGAAAAGCTTTAAAGACACTTTCATTCCATTAAAATGAGAAGGAAGGTAGGACTGGCTTATCTCTAGTCATGTAATAAAATAGTACAGTTTCATATGGAAGGATATCAAGGAGGTCTAACTTTTTTAATGAGTAGTGGTATATGAAGACTCGCTGGTTCAATTTAAATGTTGTCAAGTATCTGCAAGTAAGAGCCTGTACCATAACATAAATTCTATTTTTGATAGATAAGTCAGAATTCCGTAGAAGATACTTTTCACCTGTCTTACCTAGAAAGGAGATACGTACCTTTAGTGCAGAGTTAGCTTAAATACTTGCCCAGCTGTTAGTCTTAACCTTCTGTCTTTCTCTTCCCTTACCTCCTTCAGTGGTGGTATTGGTCCAGAGTGTCTGACTTCCCTAGGAAAATAAGATAGGCCCTCAGCAGAGTATAAATAATGCACCATCTTTCTGCAGTCTACCCACAGATAAACAGAGATAAGAATCCCTAGGTAAGAACTTGCAGACAAGTTCTTACAAAACTCCTTGCAGAAGAACTACAGAACTGTTCCGTGTTGAAAAAGCCTTGGGACAGTGTGGTACAAGTGAGTTGTTACTCAGACATCTGCTTAAAGGAGATGTCCTGCTCTTGGTGGTTCCTTTGCTCTCCACACAAACTCTTGACTGAACTGATTTAACAGCAAAAGAATAACTGGGTTGGGGGGGATTCACTAGCTTTATCTGGGTGAAAAAGTCAAGATGTCCCAAGAAGGGCTCTGACCACAGAAGCCAGTATAAAACTTGGGGTTGGGGGCATGTGGCTGAGGCAGGAACAGAAGAGGGAGGGTCCTTGCTGAGGAAGCTTTATACGATGTGCTTAAGGGTGTGGAGTTTTTTTTGATGAATAGGAGAAGGGGGAAAAGCTTGCCCAGGTTTTTTATTTTGTATAAACTTGATGGTTTTGTTCACATTGATCATATGTGAAGTCTGTTTTAAGACACTTTGCCTTTAGATTTTATTCCTTCTCCTCTTTTTTCTCAGGGTTGAATATGATGCCTATCGAACAGACCTTGAAGAGTTGAACCTTGGCCCTCGTGATGCAAGCACTCTGCCAAAGATTGAGCAGTCGCAGCAACTGTTTCAGGTGCATAAAGAGAAATACGACAAAATGCGTAATGATGTCTCTATCAAATTGAAATTTTTGGAAGAAAATAAGGTAAGCTGCAACTTCTGATGTTATGTTTAGGTGTCTCGTTCTGGAAGTTTCTGCTTTGTTAGAAGTACTGTGGTTGTTAGATCTTAAAATATATCTTAATTTAAAAGTGAAGGAAGCAAAGAAAATAAGCTGAACTACTTGCATTCTTGCTGTGTCACTGAAGGACACAGACTTTTAGAGCAGGCAGCCTTCGATCCCTAATCAAGCCGTTCAGCTACCAATGACAAACACTATGGCAGTACGTTTCTTGTTGTTATGGGAGGCTTCAAGTTTGGAAAAGCATTACTTTTCCCATTTAGCACATTTAATGGTTGAGTCCTGTCACTATTGATTTAAGATTCAAAGTAATATTTGTTTGACAATGCTATCATGGATGATATGCACATAGAAAGTGAGAGAACTGTGAAAAGCCTTCTTGAAAGTAAAGCTTCCTTTAATAATGTGGACTGAGAAATACACCTTTCTATAATGCCCTTATAGTTTCTTAATGCCAAACATGGCTCTTGAACTGTTGAAGTGTTGTTTTCCCATATTTGTTCCAACCATACCATTTCACTTATACCCTTGTAATGATGGGGTTCTTATCTCTTCTATTCTGCCTACCAGGCAAAAATAAAATTGCCGTGTACAACACACTTTAAAACTGTCCTTTCTTTGATAAACAAGTCCTTTTAAATTGTTTTTAATTTGATGTAAAAATTATGGTCTTGCAAGACCATATATTTTCAAGATCTGAATGTAGGTACCGACTGCCTGTGAGAGGATACAGGAGTGGCTCCAAATGACAACCGTAGCAAACCGTGTTTCTTGCATGGAAGGAAGAAATTTTAAAGGAAAATTATGGGGACAAGCTAAGCCAATTAAAACTGATTATTATTCTTAATCCAATAATATATTATCACATACACAGTTGCATCAGCTACTTAGAATAAAGATGGCAGACAGGAAATAAACATGAACTATCAACACATGAGAAGAAAAAAAAATTGAGAAAATCATCAAATCCTCTGGTTTCCAAAATAGTATATGCTAAAAATGTAGCTCCTGAACACTGTTACTTCATATAGGTATTTGCATTAGGACCAGGGGTCTGGAATCACATAGCCATTTAGCATGATCTGGTTCATCAGCTCACAAAAACTGGTATTGCCCTGACTTTCATTTGTTGTTCTTGCTGAACTTGTAGCCCATTAACTTTCAAATAGAAAAAATCCTTATTGAAATTAATTTTCTTGAACAAGCCAAGGTCTAAGTGCTGAAACTTATGCTCACATTAGAAAATGCTTATAGGAACTGAGGTTTAAAATTATGCTGGTTTGAAAACGGGTATACTGAATGTATCTGTTTCCCCTTTGGTTTCATCTTCTAGTAAATTGTTTGCTGCTAACATAATGTACCTATTTTCTCTTGAAATTGTTTGGTCCTCCCAGCTTATATCTGTACAGGAATTCTGATGCTTAAGTTCAAATTAGTTGAAAATAGCACTTACCCTGCTTCCTCTTGGTTTGCATTAGCTGTATAACAGACTGAACAATTTATGTTTATACGGATAGGGGTGCTCCAGAGTGAAAGAATTTTATTTCCATTTTGTACAAAAAGAAGCTTCCATATCTTTAAAAAAAAAAAAACTTAAATAATATCATTTAGGGAGCAGTAGTGAAGTTCTTTTCCTAATTACAGTCTTGAATTAGATCAAGCATCCTGTTAGCAGTCACAGCCTACAAATTTTGTTTCTGAAAGAGATTGTTTTTTCCTTCCTGCCTTTTCTTTTAGATTAATACAGAGGGGACTTTCACATGCTTAAACCTTTTTATCACTGGCTAACATTTCTCAGTTTTGATACTGGAGATGTCAAAATATTTATTAAAGGTTGTATGTAATTTTGTTCCCAAATAAGCCATAGAAAGGACTTCCTTTACAGTCAAATCTTGGTTTAAATATAATTATCTACTGAGGGCTTTACTCAGGTAAGCTTTACTTTGGTGTTTTTTATTTATTGTATAGGATTTGCTGTAGTAAACAATATGTAATATTGATCCTAATCCTAAATTTTCATTTTGGGAGCACTTCTTTTCCACCTTGCATCTGTCTCTTGATAGTTTTTGTTCTGTTCTTCTGTTCCTGGGCTTTAATGTGGAGGCAGTGGTTATCTGAGAGATGTTCTCACCAATCTGACATCTTTATTCCTTTTTCTGTTGTCAGCCTTTTTTTGTTAACTTCAATGGAAGGGAGCTCCTGTTAGCACTCACACTTGTTCCACAGCTAGTACTAGGAGAGCACAGTTGATTTGCCAGACAACTATATGACCATTATAAACATGACTTCTAATTTTTAGCCTCATACGAAGTGTATGCGACTGTCTTAAGTCAATTAACTTGCTAAATACAGGATCAGTAAGCATAGGAACTCTTAATTTTGGTTAGAGTTAATGATCTCAGATGTTCTACTTTTTCCAAAGGTACATGACAAAAATTGCTATGATCCATCATAATTTAAACATCTATAAATACATCACGAGCCTAGCATGAATGAGAAGAAAGAAGGGAGGAAGAGAGCAATCGCGACAGCTGTATGAGTGTCTAACACAGCTGCTTCAGCTGTGGGAGTAGTGCACTGTTTAGGATGTGCCTTAAACTGCAGACCTGATAGGATGTTCAACTTCCAAGTGGAAGGGTGATTTTGATACTAAGATGTTACAGTAGTCCTGGGGAGGGCATTTACAGTGGTTATACTGATACAATATTCTTAGTTGCAGGAACTTGCCATTTTGAGTGTCTGTCCCCAGGACCATGTTGGTGCCCATTTAATAGAATGGGAGATGAAAATAATGGAAGATCAAACAGGCAAAATACTGGTTTTACTCAATCTCTCACAAAGGGCCTTTTTGCAGCCTGTTTTAGAAAGCCTGTGTTGTTGCAGGCTTGTTGCATATGAGGCGAATGAGGGTTAGTGTTTGAGCAGCGACATCAAGGCATGGTTTTGCCAGACTCGTTACGGTATACCAGAATGTGTAAATCTCTAATAGTCAGCTTCATTAATACGTATTGTCATGGTGCTGAATCCAGATGTGAATTAATATTTGTTCTAATCTAATTGGAGAAGCCTCTTTAGGTAAGAAAATAGTATGGTAGCCAAGCAACTTTTTTATTGTATATCTGTAAACCTTTGGGATTCAAGTCATGTATCTATTGCTAGAGGATGTAGTACAGTGTAGTGTCAAGCTTATCACTTCTGTGTTGGGAACAGAATTGTGTAATGAAACCTTGGCCTAGCAAGGCAATTAAGCAATTTAGAATTTAATTTTTAGATTAGATAGATCAGTTCATGTATCTTCCAATGAATGTTTTTAGTCTGACCAATATTAAACATTTAAAAAAAAGTTGTATATTTTTTGCCTGACAAATGAATGTCGAAACAGAATCCTGGATACTCTTTTGTAAGTGCATCTCCACTCTATGCACTCAGTTATATTCCCACTCAAAAGTTTTGTCCCATATTTGGCTAAGCATGACATAAGAGGACAGCAGGGAAAACCAGGAGGTGATTGAAGCTGTCCCTGCAAAGGAACTGTAAAGCCAGTTTAACTGGCTGGTGGGTTCCGGTTGGTCTGTGCTGCTGCGAATGTCGCCAAACAGCCGTAAACCAGCTGGCCCTACATTTAGGGGAAGAAAGGGCATCACGTGGTTGCAGTCTCCTTGTCACTGTTCTCATGGGTTCATATGTTAATACTTCCATTAAAGACCCTCAAAGGTTCAGAGAACTGAATTACAGTAAAGCTGGGATTGCAAGTTTCTGTCTGTAAAACCAAGATAAACAAGATTTCTACTCACTTTGGCTGTAACATTTTATTTTGAGGTTAGAACTGATTTTTTTTGGTTTTTTGGTGTTGTTACTGCAAAGTATTATTGGTGCTATCCCCAACTGGCAGAGTTCTGTGTATGGAATATGTATAATGTTTGTGGCATTGGGCAGTGAGCATAAGAATAGCTGCCATCAAAATCTGTAGCTTACAAATAGTTAATTTTTTTTTAAATAAGGATGGAGCCCTGTTCTTAGCTTAAGGATTTCTGCCCCTGGTAAGATTTTGAAAGGGTGTTGTCTTTTTGAGAAAGGAAAAACTGTTTCTTGTGTATGTACTTGAGAAATGTCAAACCTCTCTGTGTAAAAAAGAAATAGAATGCAGTTCTGTGAGTTGCACTTCAGGAGTTTGATGTTTAAATGTTTGCTTCTACAAATGAAAGCAACTTGTAGTCTAATGGAAACCCAGATGGTGCAACTGTTGAGACCAAATAACTTGAAAGATAGTTAGGGGAGAGGATTCTGATAGCTGTGAGGAGGTACAAACTGACAAAAACTACCATGGGAGTAGTTGTCTTGGTTGTTGAGATGGCTGAAACAGTCTGAACGAGGAGGATGTAAAAAAAAAAAAATCTGTACTTACCATATTTCCCATGGCACAGTATTTGGAGGGAGGTGGGGAGAAGAGGACAATATTTAGAAAGTAAATGAAAATTTAAGAGCAGCCAGAAGAAATGTGAGAACGAAGATCCAACCTACAGTATCTTCTGTATATGAAACCTGAGTCTTCTGTTTCAGGCATGCCCATTTTTTTTTTATGTTTATCCACAAAGTTCAGTTTTGTTTTGAGACTGAAGTTTGCCAAGTCTGTTATGGAGTGCTTACCCTTCTCATAATTAGGAACAAATAGATATCTGTAGTTAATTAACAAGGAATGATGATTTTAAATGATGTTCAACTGTAAAACGTGATGGCTTTTTGACAAGCATGCTAGTCATCCACTGTTACCTGTATTTTAGCAGCGTACCATTAACATTCTTTTATTGAAAGGCAAATCCTCAGATGCTCGCTCCCTGGAATAGGTGCTACAGCTCAGTGCTCAAGAGTTAGCCTTCAGCGGTGTAGTCAGACAGTCACTTCCAGGCTTTGCTGCCAAAAATAAAAGTGGTCCCTTCATCCTCTCTCCCCCTTCCCCCACACTGCCTTCTCAGTTGTGCTTACAAAAGTGTTTTTGCAGCTGTGCAGAGAATCAGATTGGGGAACTGATCCAGGTTAAAGCAAGTATGTTGTTGTCTGGTTAGTTTTAATCTAGATCTGTTCCCTGATCCAACTGACTACATAACTGCATGAATGTTTTGCCAACAGAGGGCTAAGGTGAACCATAGTGTGGAAGTAGGAGTCAACGGCTGGCTACGGGAGTGGGTAAGGCTGAGATTGTTTCATGGGAAAACTGGTTCGTTTTGAACTTGGCTGTAAGTGAATTCTCATTGTCCAGTTCTTAGCTGTGATTGCAGGTGTTTTTGCAGTGGACATGAGGTGATTTGGGATGTTACAGCTTTTTCTCTTTTCTCTTAGCTGGCTGTGACTTCATAGTAGGGCTCAGTGTAGAGCTTCTTTGTACGATGTCAGACAGCTCAAGTAACTTTAAGATTAAATTGCTAGGAAAAAGACCACTTAAAGGAGGCTACAGTAAGAAGATCCCGCAATCAGCCTGTGAAGGAAGTTGTGACACCTTGAACCTCTGCAACCAGTTTGATAACAATCACAAAATTTACACCACAACGATCTGGCTTGGGGATAGAACTTGGTGCAGTGAGGTAGCTCTGGTAGTTCAGAAAACTCCACCAAAATAAAACATGGGGTTTTTTTTAGTCCAAATCATCTGCCTCTACATTGTGAAGTCTTGCGTCTGTGTGTGCACATGCATGCCTGAGCCTAGGTCTGACTGAGTTTATAAAATTGTCAGAAGTCTTAAAGGCAGTTCGCAGAAGCTTTATGTTAAAAGCTACCCTAACCAAGTACCAAATTTGGTCTCAAATTGATGAGCTTGGGCTGCTTTCATTTGAGTTCTTATAAACAGCCTGAATAAAACTCTTGTAGCATTTTGAGAATATGTTAGAACACTAAGTGTACTCCTGTGCAGAATTCCTAGCTTGGACTGTGTCAAGTCTTTTGTCTCAGTGATGAAAGAATCTGCTCAGGAAAGAGTCTACTGCTAAACTTTTGAAAGCAAACCCTTTATATTGTTGTGACGTTTTCCACTTGTACGGCATAAAAATTTTCATCCCAAAAATATTACAGGTAACCCCCGCATGTATTTATATACATATATTCCCACACAAAGTGAAAAAGAGTCCATCTTTTATGACTTGGAAAAGCTGAACTATGTTGTTTGAACAACTGTAGTTAGCTAAATTCTGCATCTCCTAAATGTTAAAACGTGTGTATATAGTGAATTTTTTTGAAGACTACTCTGAATGAAGAAAACATTGTCTCAAAATACGATGTGCATGGTGAACTCCTTTCTAACCATACACACCTCTCACCTTTTTTCTTGGAGAGCTTTTTGGTGGAATAAGCTACCATTTTACACCATGAATGAGGCAAGTAGCCTGTTCTTTGACAGCTATTTAGTTAAATTAGCCTGAATTGTTAAGGGAGAAAACATAGGGATAGCAATTTTCAAGTTGTCAGAGCAACTGAGACCAAAATTTGAGTCACTGAAGAGAGGTTATCAATTAAGTAGGGTACAAAGGACTGTACAGTTGTCAGTTTATGAGCAGAACTTAATTTGTGAAATGAGCCTATTGAGTAAAATAAAAAAGGGTAAAAAATGCTGTATGCTCCTAAAAGAAATTTCAAATTTTGGTGATGAAACTTTTGTATACACACCTGCATATGTGCATGCACACACACACTTAGCCCTATTGTTTCTCTCAAAGTATTTTATTTTGAAAGCATATTATTGCATTTCTTTGTTATAGTGTAGGTAGGACACTTCTGCTGTAATAGCATCTCTAATAATATATGTTGGGTTTTTTTCATTTGAGATCTTTTCTTAAATGAAGGCAATTAAGTATTTGTGTGTTGAGTTGCATGCATTTCAGAATAGCATGTAGACAAATAACCGGTTAAAACGGGCATGCCAGTTGGTGGGCATAGGCCAAACCTGGCCTGAGGATAGTTCTGCTTCCCAGCATGACAGGAGCAGACTGTCCCTTGTGGATTGTGCGGAGAGATGAGGCAGCGATCCAAACTTTGAGTAGAGAAAGCTTGATCTGGTACGTACTTCATCCTCCCTTTGGGCTCAGCCAGCTACCCTGTTCCTCTGTTCTCCTCTGCGTTGGCCAAATGCTATTGGGCTTCAGGTCTCGTAGGATGGAATCGGGCACAGGGCCACCACCGTAGGGATCTGAGCTCGGACACAAGAGTAGGGCTGTACTGTGCTGAGAGTACACTCAGGAACAGAATGGACAGGTTTTGGCTGCAGGAGAAACTGGGCAGCTGCCTCTTCAGCATACTGCTGTTCGTCATTCACAGCTTGAGGTTTACTGGTGTGCTAGGGTGAACGTGTAATATGTTTAGCTCTGAATTCATCAGTGCTATAGCTCGTCATCATAGGTGAGGCTGAAGAGAAGAAGCGACACCCTCCAGCTGCTTTTGTGCTCTTCTCCCCAGGTTTTGATTACTGCTGTGACCTGTATGTTTTGTGACTACTTTGCACAACTGTTACAGTTCAGATAATGACCCTAGTGCTCTAAATAATCCTGTGTTACAGGAGATGGGCAAGAAATATTGCTGGGAAAAGAACATTGTTTTCATTTGACTTAGGTATGCAGGAGCTGGAAAACAGCAATTCTCTGCAAGGAGGGGCAAATAAATGAACTGTGTACTTAGGTGATGCATTTGTCGTATACTGTCTCAGGGAAGTCCATTTGGCCTGCAGGTAGGTATCTTAAACAGAGGTTTGACATCTAATTTCAAGGAGTCAAGTACTTGTAATCAGGTGTTTGATAACACTGCGCTGTTTAGTGAATTGCTTTTGGTCCGTGCATACTGATTTGGTGTTGACTGCTAAGTGTACTTTATGAAAACTCTACATTGCTTAAATGTTAAATAGCTTTGTATTTGTATTTTTAAACTACTGTTAAATAATCCGGTATGAAGTCTGAGCATCTCAAATGCCCCCCCCCCCCCCCTTTTTTTTTTTTAATATAACTGACCTGTGATGTTTAACAATCTGCTGCCTCCTCCTGACCTATCCCTATCCTTGCCTGCAGGTTAAGGTATTGCACAATCAGCTTGTTCTGTTCCACAATGCCATTGCAGCGTACTTTGCTGGGAATCAAAAGCAGCTTGAACAGACACTTAAACAGTTCCACATCAAATTGAAAACTCCTGGAGCAGATGCCCCATCCTGGCTTGAAGAACAGTAATTGGATCAGAGAAGAGGACCCAATGTTAACCTAAAATCTGTAGATCTGATAACAAAGGGTTGGGTTGAAGGACTGTTGTAGTGATTCTTGCACATACAGCTTTAATTTTTTCCCCCTTTTTATAATACTGTAAAACTGAATTTGGTGGGAAAGTGGGTGACTTTAAGGTAACCAAATGTCATTGCTTTCAGATCAAATAGAGCACTCCTTTTGTATGTAAAGGTTGGTGGTTATTTCTGTAACTTGGATGGTGCAGGGGAGGCGGGGGGTGGGAGCCAGGGCAAGGAAGGGAGGGGAAACTACTATTATAGATTTGCACTGACAAATGATGTTTGATTTCTGGTCATTTTGGTGGCTAGTCAAAATATTTCCAAATGGATGTTTACATGATTTGTTCCAACTTCTGGTATTTTATACATGAATATAGAAAACATCTTTAGTAATTTTCATACGACTTTTTAAAAGGAGAGAGTTAAAAGAATATTTTGCAGATTAATAATAAGGCCTATATGAGATATCGTTATGTAAGGCAACGGTAGCAGATGGCTCATTGACTAGTGGAATTGCAGCAAATGCCTTTTTAAAAGATGTTCCTTTCCATCATAGGTTGGAGAGAGGGAAAAAAAACAACCCCGAAACCTAGGAAAAACACTAAAGCAAGAATCACTGTCAGTCTGAGGCTTCTAAGCACACATTTTTGCTTTGCACCAAGTGGTTTGCTGAGTAGGCCAACCATGCAATGTACTTATTTCATTTAAAATGTTACTTTCTCTATGAAACAAATACCGTACTAGCCTTAAATCACAGGTATGTGCCTTTTTATAATGTTTTCCACCAGTGTACATAATCCAAGAACCCTTTCACATAATGGTTTGTCAGTTCCCAACAAGGTGAAGGAGACTGTGTAAATGCCGTTTTGTTTTACACTTAGAGCAAGTTAATACTTTAGTTAACCTTCATGGGCAGGTAGATCTTGAGAGGAAATCTGGCTGGTATGTTTTTTCTGTTTAACTGAAAAGCATACCTTGGCAAGGGGAGTAACATGGAGGATACTTTTTCATTTCTCCATCAATCGTGTAGTCCTTTAAATGTAAAACTATATGTCAATTTTATCATAGACATTTTAAATTCAATATATTAGAGTCTTTATTTGCACATGTTGTGTTGCTTTGTGTTCTCAAGTAAAATGAAATACTTCAAATGTTATTTACAAAGGTGTGGATTGTATGATTTACCGTACTGTATGTTCAAATGCCTTTCAGCTGACGTTCTTCAAGTTTTCAGTGCTTAACACGACTGTAATGTAACTGTAAATCAAACTTTTTAATCATTCCTCATTAAATTCTTGGCCTGACGGGGAGCCTTTTTTCTGTTGTTATTCTGTCAGAATCTCTTGTAATAGACCATCTATGTTCCCCAGAATGTATATCCTATGTGAATTTTGTATTCATATTAAAGGTGTTTGCAGTCAAACTCCCTTGACTCGTGATGGTTAAGAGTAGAACCCAGCTTCTGCAGTGAAAGCTTAGTCCTGTTTTTCTGAATTGCTGCCCCTGCCCAAGAAATTCTGGTAAAACAGTACGAGGTGGTAACACTGCTGTTTTATTTCAGGATGGTTTTATACTGAGCAAGTTCAACTTGGGTGTAGACTCACAGTGAAACTAATCTTTCAGTTTATGTAATTCTTGACTTAAACTTCAAAAGGACACTTGATTACATTTACAACTCTTATGGAAGCCATTGACCTCCCCGTCTCTGAATCACAGCATGCGTGCGGTGCAATGGTGCAGGGAAGAATACCTGTATAACTCTGCGGTTGAGCTAGGAAATGTAGACAGCAGCATTTAGCAGAGGTGGAGAATGCAAACCTACTGACTACAACCGAAATAGCTTTCGGAACACTATAGGAAAAGGATGCATATGGATCATGTGCCACTGGCTTCTATCCCAGATCCGTGCGTCTCCTGCTGAGGATAGTCCCTGCCCAGAAGTAAGAGATCGGCAGAAACGGTAAGGGTGAACTTGAATCTGAAATTGCCTTTTATGCAGGAATGACCCACGTGGTATTGTGTTGCTCCCAAACTTTTGTAATGGCATAAAACTGCCAGAGTCTCTTCAGCTGGAAGCAAAGGTTGGACAAAAGAGATGATTTACTAAAAACTGTGTATTGTTTAATACCAGGGAGAAGGAAGAATGGCATCCATTTTGCTCATGGAAGCAATTGTCCTAATTGTTAGCCTCAGTGAAGAGGGCTCTATATTCCATCCATCAAAAGGCAATCAGCTTAATATCCTATTGTAGTACTTCTGACTTTTTGTTTGCTCCTGTTCCTATGTGCTTATGAAATAAGTCAAGCTCATGTCTTGTATTCAAAGTTAACTCTTCAGATGGCACCAAATTTAGACACTTCTGCTTCAGGAGATCATATGAGGAAGATACTTCTGAAACTTCTAATGGGGAGCAATTACAGTTGTCAGCTTTTCTGATATTGGAAAAGCTGTGTGAATGGCTTGATTGTAATGCTGGCATGTATCTGTAAAGACAGTTGTCAGGGTGGATTTGTGTTTGTTTGACAAGAGGGCCATACCCACCTAGTAGAGTCTTGTCTGTGAAAGACTTTCTCTCTGTTACAGGTTATCACATTAGTGCTTCTAGTGTTGTCTGAGGTTTCTCAGGAAGAAGAATTCGAAGCAGTTAATGGTGTTTAAGCTGCTGTAGCTGCTCTACCAAATGACGACCCCGGGGCTGTTTCATTTCTCAGTGACTGTACTGTAAGTTACCTGCACTCCTGGCTTTCTATGAATTCTACAAACAGCTCTTCGGCTCAAAACATGCTCTTTGGCACACTTAGGGCTTTGTCAAGCCCTTACAAAGAACCTTTCTGGTTACAAAATGTATCTATATTTGAAGAGAGGTTTATGTGAGTAGAGCATAGTAACACACCAGTATCATTAAAATAACAGCTTGATTTCAATCTTCTGTCAACTGGTTTTCCCAGCAGCTTTATCTGTTCTGTCTCTGCTTCAAAAAATGATCAAAGTAATATAAAAGGAAAGCTAAATGTTCCCCTCAACTCTGTTTTGAACTGAGCTGGGGCCATGTTCAGTTTGTCTTCCCTGCTTATCTGCTCTTGTTCCTTATTGTGGTGTTACAAGAGTAATAAGGTATTATAATTATTTAGCATTCCTCATCTGCAATTATCTTTAGGGTTTTTTTTAGTCTGGTTATCTTTTCCATGTTGCATGCTTGATGTGGAGGTTGTTCTAGTCACAGATTTTTTTAATTAGCCGTTAATCTTGTACTTTGATTGCCCCCACCCCAGACTTACCCACTGGCAGCTAAGTCATGTCAAATTGAAAGCCTTTTATTTTGATGAGAGGATCCACAGAGGACTTGACTGTTCCTTGGTTTATATTTCCTTGTTCTGGCTGTTACTTGTACTAGTTAATAGCTCTTTGACATCTTTGGGTTCTTCTGGGTGCTGTGGTGTTAAAGCTAGTGCTGCGCACAGCAAGGGCATTTCTGTGCCTGTGACAGCGGTCTCGCTCACCTCGCTGCACCGTTTTTCACCAAGGTCCTTTCTCTTCATTTCTGTCAGTCTTATATGGGAAGCAAGTGTCCAGGAAGATAAAGTGTGTAACCATGGCAATAGCTGGAAGTGAATTAAGGAAGTAGCATAGGAGTAGCAAGTAGGGTGGCTTGTGCCTGTCATGGAGAAGGGCATCAATTGATAGAGCAGTAGCGGGAAGGAGTAGTGATGTGTTGCTGTTTCATCAGAGTCCCTGTAGTGTAACACAGAAGCAGCGTATGAACCTTGCAGAGCCTTGGCCATTAAAGCTCAGTCTATGGCTTGCAAATCTGTTTCCTACTGCTGAGACTGCTGATGCGAAAGCGTTACCATTTACACTTCAGCTGCCTTTTGAAAAGAGAATTCTTTTAGGAAGGTGGCAGGAGCAGTGATTCTGAGCTGTCCACTATTGGTAGTGTATTTCTGTTAAGGACATGCACTCGGCAAAATGCACATTCAAGTTGTTTTTAATTGCTATGGGTGGGAAAAGCCTTGTTTTCTAAGCAAATACACTCTGTCCTACCTCTTTATGAGAAACTGTTTTACAGACAATAGCTATTGGAGGAACGGAAATGTCTGATATTCTAGGAGAAGCAGAAAATCATAGACTCATAGACTGGTTTGGGTTAGAAGGGACCTTTAAAGACCATCTAGTTCCAACCCCCCTGCCATGGGCAGGGACACCTTGCACTACACCAGGTTGCTCAAAGCCTCATCCAGCCTGGCCTTGAAGACTTCCAGGGATGGGGCATCCACAGTTTTTCTGGGCTGCCTGTTCCAGTGCCTCACCACCCTCTCTGTAAGGAATTATTCTTTCCTGATATCTGAACTAAATCTCCCCATTTTCACTTTAAACCAGTTACCCCTTGTCCTGTCAGTACCTGCCCTTGTAAAAGGTCCTCCCCCAGCTTCCTTGTAGCCCCTTCAGGTACTGGAAGGTGCTATAAGGTCTCCCTGGAACCTTCTCCAGGCTGAACAAGCCCAACTCTCTCAGCCTTTCTTCATAGGAGAGGTCAAAAAAAAGAGATCAAGAGTGTCTTTACAGAGTTCCCTTGCATCACTGGGTGGTAGAACTGAGATGGGTACCAGTGTGGCTGTGTGATAACATTTCTTAATTAAGCACAGAGATCAGATATAGAACAGAGTAAACCTGAAACAAATTTTTAGTTTGGGTTTGCCATGTTACTACTGTTTATGCCAGCATAAATCCCTTGGTTCAGTCAGGAACAGTTCAGCTATCAGCACTGTGTTCCTAGTAAATGGCACTTAACAAATAGTATGCTTTACTGTGCCAATTAAAAAAAATAATTACACACCTTGCAACCTTTTTAAGAACACTGAAGGCTGTAAATTTAAGCACTTAAGAGTTAAATAATACTAAAAACTAGTGTTGCCTGTTCAGTCTTGATTTGCCTTTCTTACATACGTGTAT